TTTGCATATTTATAAAAAGACCATTGTTTTTTATTTTATCCCTGTTAAAGTGAACAACATTCCTATTAACCCACAATAATATATTGCTTTTATTATATTAGCACTTCAAACCAGATATAAGTGCCTTGCCTATAGTCTTTATATGTTTATAAAGTCAAAGGAAATTATAAACACAGGAAATATATAGTTAATGAATTTCATATTAATATTAATATAATAAAATAGATGCAATTTTGCTGACTTTACTATCTGTGACAAGAGAGTGCAGTAGTCATAAAAGGACCATACTTTTCTCCCTTGTGTGACAAATTTTTCATCACTTTTCTCTATTCACACTGCACTTAAAACTTCCATTTTATGCTTTTCAATTAACTAGAGGCCCAGCGTATGAAATTGTGTGCGGGTAGGTTCCCTAGCCCTAGCCTACGATCAGGGCCATCTTCTGCCCATTGGCCAGTCCCCAGTCCTGTCCTGCCGCCCACACCCACCCCGATTCCCTCTTCTCCATCTGGCGATCTATCAGAGCCTGTGGGCTCGGGGGAGGGACCTAGAGGTAGTCAATGTACCTCATAGTGACTGGTCGATCAGTCGTTCTGGTCGTTATGACATTATAGTCGCTGGTCTTTTATTATACAGGATCATTCCTGATTTATTATTAATAACTGGAGCAAATAAAATACTTACCAGTTCCAACACTATCACTATGAACACAGAGAAAACCTGGACACTGAAATTGCATATAGTATTTGGAACTTCTGTGTGAATGTGGACTCAAAATATATGTATTAATTGATGGTATATTAAATTTTAAATTACTGTGACTAGTTTATTATAAATAAGACCTGCACAATTAATTATAATATGAAAACACTTGAAATATCTTTAAAAGATATTTTTAGTTTTCCCTGTGGCACTTAATCCAACTAATTTTGTGACTTATTGTACAAGGGTTAAAGCAGCACTATTTCAATTTAAATTACTTTCTTAAGGTATATCTACATTTTGCTTTCTACTTGTACTCATAAAAAACATGTTTGATTTCCACCATTTAGAGTCTGTTGAAATTGAAATAAAAATAAGTAAAAGAGGAATTAAAATACTAATGAAAATGTGGTTTGGGTCTTTTCTAAACTCTGTATTAATACCGCACCACAATTTCTTGTATTAGTGCCCAATAGTCCTCAGACAAAAATTCAGCTTTTATTGACTGGATTTTAGTTCACTTTCCCACCTACTATGAGTGAGACCCTATGCAGGTCACATGAACTATTGAAGTTCAATGTTCATTTTTGTAAAACAGCATCATAGCAAAACCTTTAAACTCTCAAAGCTGCAAGTTTTGAGAATAATTGCCTCATAGGTAGTTGTGTGTAAACTAGCACAGATACTAACTTGTGTTCAACAAATACTAATTATTATTATT